CTTATAAAGAGGCCACTTTGGATGTCAAGATTTTGGTGGAATTCTTGTCACATCTGCAGAATGTCTACCAAATCCTCAATTTCAATGCTATTCATTTGCATTTTTAGCTTTAGTCTTTGATTATTTATAGAAGTTTGGCAAAATACTTGTTTTATGATCTTCCTTGCTGTGGACAATGGTCTTCTATCCTGTAAATATTTGTCACTTGTATGGTAATAAAATGCTGATTGATCAGTTGCCAGGCAGGAAGTATAGATGGTTGGTCAGGCAGGAAGTATAGGCGGGGTGACCAGAACAAGAGAATTCTGGGAAGAGGAAAGGTTCAGATTGCAGATACAGAGGAAGTAAGATGAGACTGCCTCACTGATAAAAGGTACCAACACATGTGACTGATACAGAAAAGAAACATGGGTTAGTATAGGATGTAATAATTAAAAAGAAGCTAAGAGACTTAGCTTATCACTAAAAAACCAATCACTTTTTGGTTAATGTAGACCTATGTGTGTTTCTTTGGAACTGAATGGCTGCGGGATTGGGCAGGACAGAAACCTTCATCAACAAATGGACAACTATGTCCACATAAAACCGGAGAGAGCTTGGGAAGTAATTCTAGACACAAAACAACAGAGTTAAGTACAGTTTCTTGGTAGGAGCATTTTCTCAGGTAGGTTCTCTTTGCTAGAAGCAAGCATGTCTCATTTAAGAGAGACTTCCTGACTCAGCTTTAGCTGCAAAAATCCTGCAGTTCTTTTTTAAGAGACCCTGTCACCAAACACTTAAACGGTATTTATGAATAGCTGACAGCATGCTGCTTGTTGATGGCAAGGACCTTGAAATTCTATATAGTTATGGCAATAAACATAGCTTTTGCCGCTACCTCTACCATGAAGCTAGACTCTGAGAAAGCTAAGGAATGGGGTGGATCCAGCCATCAAATCATGGCTTTAATCCTAGCCATATCACTTAGAAAATTAAAGACTAATGTAGTCAGAAAAAAAAGAGAGATACAGTAAAGATACATTCAGATGAAGAAAACCTATAAATGGTTTACAGTGTTTTTAAAAATATATGTATGCTTGGGAGAGAGTAGTTGGGTGTGTTGGCACACACCTTTAATCCCAACACTTGAGAGGCAGAGGCAAGCAGATCTCTCTTAGTTCAAGGACAGCCTGGTCTATAGAGTGAGTTCCAGGACAGCCAATGATACACAGAGAAACCTGTCTCAAGAAACCAAAAAATAAAAATAAAAGAAATAGAGTTTAAAATAAAGCCATGTGATGATGGAAAATACACAGAAAATCTGGATATTCTATGTTATTGTGCTGTCTTTGTATTGTTTTATGGCTAAGGAAGGAGCAACAAATGCTAAAAGACATTTGATTAATTAATTGTTGAATTAATCTAACATATATATTTTGACTTTAAAATACAAGTCAAAAGATATGTTACTTTTGAGAAGATGTTTTGCATTTATTTCCACAGGAAATGAGAGGCTGTGGATTCATTCTGGGTTATGAAACATCAGGTTTGACCAAGGAAGACTCCCTGAAAAATCTCCAATAGAAACAGGTAGCCCAAATTATCCAACATTTCAGAGGACCTCTGTTGGAGTTTCCTCTGAGTTCTACATCCAGAGCAGCCTCAAGACTGCTGATTGAGACAATCAAGCCTCACAGAATATTACAGTCAGGACTTGACCATAATTTTAAATTTTCTTTAAGTCCCCATAAGATTTTCAGTGCCCGCAATCAACAAAAAGTACTCTAGAAAATTATACCCCCATTCCCACAATATGAATTATGGATATTTTTCTTTGTTTAGAGTGTTGGTTACAAGTTTTAATGGATAATGATCAAGAAGAAAAGCTAAACAAAGGAGATTAGATTCATAGTTTTTGTTTTAAAAATAAAGCAAAAGAGGGTAGTGCTGTGGGAAAATGGTCTTGTACACTGTAAATATTTGTCACTTGTATGGTTTAATAAAATGTTGATTGGCCAGTTGCCAGGCAGGAAATATAGGCAAGATGATAATAACAGGAGAATTCTGGGAAGAAGAAAAGTTCAGTCTGTAGTCATCACCGAGACACAGAGAAAGCAATATGAGAATGCCTCCCTAAAAAAAGGTACAAAGCCATGTGGCTGGTACAGACAAGAAGTACGGGTTAATGAAGGATGTAAGAGTTAATAAGAAGTCTGAGCTAATAGACCAAGCAGTTTATGATTAATGTAGACCTCTGTGTGTTTCTTTGGGACTGAATGGCTGCCAGACCGGGCAGGACAGAAACCTCCATCAACACTTCCTGACAATATTGTTTCATTTACCAAAATTGTTCTGTCGTCCAGAGCATAACCTTTGTTATGCATTATGCATATTCCAGAAGGCTGGGGCCTTCTGTTTGAATTATCTCTTGAAAAAACATTGTTTCTAGGAACACCTTGCCTAAAATCCCTAGTTTACCACAATTAAAACATCTGACCTTATAATTTTTCTTAAAATTGTTAGAAATTACCTCTTCTATCCAAGTATCATCATAAACATGATATCCAATATCAGCTGTATCTTGATCCTCTATGGGTACTGATCTTGCCTTTAAAAGTCTAATCACATTTTTGCATTCTGAATTAGCACTTTAAAAAGCCAAAGATTCAATTAATATTCATCTAACATCTGGATCTGATATCTTTTTATTTGCTGAATTCAATCTTTGTAAAAAAAATCAACGAAGGCTTCTTTTGGGTCTTGTATAATTTTAGTAAATGAATCAGTCCTCTTTCCAAATTCTTCAACCCTGTCCCAAGCATTCATAGCTGATATATGGCATGGAACCAAGATGTTACCATCTAATATAGACTGTCTTTGCAAATCAGCATACTGGCTCTCACTGAGAAGCTGATCTTGGGAAATTTCATTTCCTCTATCCCTTCCTCACTTTTCTATGACCTTAGCTTTCTCTATCCGCCATGTTCTCCATTGAAACTGAGGAACAGCTTTCAATACTGCTGTGATTAAATCTTTCTAGTCTTGTGAAATAATTCTATTTTTAGTTTTTCATGAGTTTAACGTCTGTTTTTCAAAGGGTGAATGCATGCCGTATGAAATGACAGCTTCCATTAATCTCATCCTTAAATAAAACATTTCTACAAGATTCCAATTAAGTTCTGCATAACCTTCTGGGTACATATTATCTTGTGGCCATTTTTGTATGGTAACAGGTTAAATTAAGGTTGGTGTTCTAATAATCTTGGGCCACTCCTCTTCAGTTTTATAATGCAATGGTACAGTGGTTTCTTCTCTAAATTCCTCTGTCTGTGTCTGAATATTTTTATTTTTTTAGTAAATTTCTTAAAACTTGTATCTTTTCCATAGAAAGTCCATCTAAGACTTGTATACTTCCAGCCAAACTTTTCATATTTCTTATTTATTGCTAAATCTGTCTAAAGCTTTTATCTTATTCAGTAGTAAGTATTTCTAAAGCTTATATCTTATCAATAATAAACCTTATCAATCAAATTGTCTTATTTGCCATAGTCATCAAACTACATTTTTAATGATTAAATATTAATTACCAAACTGATAGTAATTAAAATAGACAGTAGGTCCATCCCTGCTAAAAAGTTTATCCCTTTATTTAGAGTTTACATTTTCAAACCATCCATGTTAATACTATACAGGGTCCTAGTACCCTGCATTGTGAGAGCCCATATTCTTAATGTGGGAAATACTTTTCTTTTTTATTTTATTTTATTATTCAAAAACCACTTAAAGGATTTCGCAGGTATCTCGCCAAGTCTGTTTATTTCTCAGTTTGTGATTGTTGTTGGCCAGCGAACTCAAGTCCCTCCCGCAATTCCCTAGCACAAGCCTCCTTTTCCAGAGTCCTGTCAACTGTCAGCTGACTCTTGTGAGTGCTCATGCAGAGTGGCCCAGACAGCAACTGCAGCAGAGCCAGCTGACATGACTCCTCAGTCCCTGTGATCATGCTATTCATTGGAGCATCAAATGTTGGTTAAATTTCAACCTTGTGTCTGCACCTTAATCAACTGCTATTTCAGTCAACAATTGTTACTCCAGAAATACTGGCCTGCTTCGCAGCAGCCATTAGAGTGGCAGCCTGGCAGAAATTTTGTTCCCGTGGACACTGGCTTTCTCACTGCCACTAGAGGTAGTTTAACTAAATCTCTACATTCTGTTTATAGATAAGACTCAAGATTCAAAGGCTGGATTGAAAACCTGCATCTCAGAGAGTCTGGGTCACAACTGGATAACCTCTCCTTGCTGGTGTTTCAAAAAAGCCCAGTCCTTCTGCTCTTCCTAAACAAACAAACAAAAATAGCTGTGCTACTCCAAATACCTCCCGACTACTTCCTGTGTTTCGCTATCTCTCCTGGATGCCCTCTAAGGCTCTATGATTACTTTCTGTCAACTTGTTGGTAACTCAATCTCCTGAACCATGGTTGATTTTATTTAGTCAATGAAGATGCAAACTTCAGGTTCAAAGGGTGATTGAATATCCCTCAATTCTCCATCTGGAGAAAGGAGTTTAATCAAGTCAACTCATGCATTATGCCTACCTTTGGAAAGGGGTTGGAAGAAGGCAAGGAGAGCTACTCTACAAACTATTTGACAAAATAAGGTGGCTCATAAAAGGGAAATAATTGATTAGGATGTAATAAATCTATTTTTAAAAGATGTTGAGGAAGATGTTGACATATGATGATACAACTTCTAATTACTATTTTATAATCATTTAAATATATAAAACTCTTATTTAAATATTTTCTAGAGTCAAGATGCTCATGTATGGATTGGAATCAAATGACACAGAATGGTTCATTACCTGAGGCAGAAGGTACTCTCTTCTTTATTCTTGTGGCCAGCACTGGGGAAATGGAGAGTTCACTTTGCTGAGAAACAGTACCTAATGCTTTGGCTTCTGGAGAGACTAAGGACGAGTGGAAGAATCTGGTGATGTGAGAATTATGGCAGAAGGGAACTGGACGATGGCCCCTATGCCTTTGCTGTCTTACAGTAAGAAAGGCTATGGGATTAGCATCCTCCCAAGTCTGTGCTAAAGAACCCTTGGTTATCTAGTTAGATGACATTTATCTGATGTGACTTGTGAGGATCTGAGGACCCAAAGAGGCAAGTCCTATTGAAATGGTATAGTTGAGATGGTTAATACAATGCTTACCAGAGTCAAGGCTTTCACAGCGACTTCTGCTTCTGTTAAAGTGGTGACATCACTGACTCTTTTGTCACAGTGACTATAACAGATAATTTGTTGAGTAATCACCACTCAGCAAACCTGTATCCATCATGGACACTAAGTCAGTATACAGGAAATGGGAGGTTTTATAGTACATGATGCATATAGCACACAGGCCTTGAATTTTCAGTTTTGAATGTGAATAATATATTTAATTCTTATAGATTGAACATATAGAAACAAGAACTGTAAAAAAATTGAATACTTATGGAATACGTTCATAAATCAAGCAAAGCTCGAGTGTAGTTTCACATACACTGCTGTGGACAGACTTAACACAGGTTTCCTTTTCCTGTTCTTTTTGTGTGTGTGTCCAGTTAACACTACACTGTTTATACAGATGGGTGCAAATGCTGTGCTGTGCTGCCCTGCTATTCCAGAGACAAAAGCAGTTTTAATAGCATGTGTAATAGCCCTCAGAGGCCAGCCTCCCTGCATAATATCCTACAAAGTAGATACAAAGGAGATCAATGAAACCAGTTGTATGAACAGAAGAATCACCTGGGTATCCACACCTGACCAGAGTCCTGAGCTTCAGATCAATGCAGTGGCTCTCGATCATGATGGACTTTATTCATGTGAAGTAGTAACAGCTCAGGGGAATTTCCTAAGGAGACATGACCTCCAAGTGCTAGGTAAGTGACATGGTCACATATCGTGCTATTTCAGGTCACCAGATTGTAGATAGAAACAGACGCCTTTGTAATGTGTGACAAGACTGAATCATTTTTCCCTTCCATCTCCGCAGTGCCTCCAGCAGTAACCCTACTTCCAGGGGAAAACAGAACAGCAGTTTGTGAGGCACTTGCAGGCAAGCCAGCTGCACAGATCTTTTGGACTCCAGATGGGGATCACATCACTAAGAAGGAATCACACAGCAATGGCACCGTGACTGTCAGGAGCACATACCACTGGGAGCAGAACAATGTGTCTGCTGTGTTCTGCTTTGTCTCCCATCCGACTGGCAACCTGACTCTGTCCATAGAGCTCAATCAAGGTCAGTATCCCCCCCCTTTAAAGAATAAATACTTGATATTTAACCTGTTCTTTCATGAAAGAGAAGTGTTCTAATTTCATTCAGTTTGTGACAAATACTATGGCCAAAGCGATCTAGGGAAGGAGAGAGGAAAGTCAAGACAACTCAAGTGGGAACCATGAAGCTGCTTACCAGCTCCTCAGACCTGTGCTACTATCTCACCTGCCCAGGGAGTGGTGCCACCCATAGTGTCCTGGCCTCTTGGGTAGAATGAGGCTGTGTCAAGTAGACAGTTAATGCTAACTAGGACAGCAGATCTAATTCAGACACCAGTAACAAGTTTTCAGTTATCTACCATCTGCAGTTCTTATCAGCTAGCTTTAAATTCAGGATGTTTTCATAATCTATGTATCAGGGTCAGTGACTTGGTAGAATGGTTCACAGAACTGAGGATGTATTTTGCTTTATCTACCTCCCCTCTCTTTCTTCACCCCCTGACTGTCTGTCCCCCAACTCTGCTTCTCTGCCTGTTTCTCTGTCTTTCCCTCCCGCCTCTTTTCTGATGCTACTGTCTGTAAAGTGGGTCCCTCCTCTCCTCCCTCCCTTCCTCCTTCCCATCCCTTCTTCTCTTCCATCCTTCCTTTCTTCCTTCCTTCCTTCCTTCCCTCCTTCCTTCCTTCCTTCCTTCCTTTTATGTTCCTTTTCCCTTAACAAAAATCCTTTCACATGAGCTCTTTGGCATGGTGTCTTCCTCGTGCCATGCACTGAAAAATGAGGAATTAGGGACAGTTCATGGTTTCTTGAGGAGAGTCAGCTAGCTTTAAGGCTGTTGTCCCTCATAGGCCCCAACTCAGGAGGTTTATGGGCAACATAAATTGAAGCCAGTGTGTTATAAAAACAAGGATCAAAAGTTGGTGGGGTAACAAAGCGGGGCATGGATCTGGTAGGAGTTAGGAGGAAGAGTTGTAGGTGAATATGATCAAAATATATTGTATGAAATTCTCAAGACTTTTTATTACATGAAAAAGAATAATGCCTTTCAAAAGTCTAAAATTTGCACAGAATGCCCTTCAGACAGAGGACTCAGAAGAGTTAAGCTGGATTTGACCCAAAAACTGCCTCCCTGAAATAGCTTTCATAGTTACCAAAGTGCTGTGCAAGGTTTACCAAAAGGGAAGCAATTGGTGGTGCCAACTATCAATGAAGATTATGAACCACAGCAATGACCAGCAAGGCTAGTCCCTAAGGTTCAATAGTGGTAACCATATCTTGGCAACAACAAACACTGTCCAATTTTATTCAAGGCCCATTCAATAGGAGGAAGATTGTGCCTGGTACTGGAAACCTAGCCAGTTACTCAAGGTTAGTGAGGTCATTGATCTTAGAGACAAATGTACTATATCCCTAAGTTGAACCTGAGTAATGCTTATCTGAATTCAAAATACTCCTAAGCGTACCAATAAATGTGGCTCTTAGCCTTTACCAAAGAACCTTTTCTTTGTAATAGACAAAAACTATTATAGAATGAATGTCACAAATGGTCAAAACGCAGAGAAAAGTGATCATAGAATGTCCCGTTCCCATGGATACATATACAGCATAATTACCATACCTAATATTCAGGGAATAGTATAGAAGATGTAAAAAAACACTGAAAGAGACATAGGACCAGAAAATTTACTGTAAGTTTCCATCTCCACAACTTCCTGAATATAACACCAGTAGCACAAACACTAAGGTCAACAATTAATAAACGAGACCTCCTGAAATTGAAAAGTTTCTGTAAGGCAAAGGACACTGTAAATAAGACAAAACAGTGGCCTATAGAATGGGAAAAGATCTTCACCAACCCCACATCTGACAGAGACCTGATCTCCAAATAAATTAAGAACTCAAGAAACTAGACATCAACAAACCAAATAATCCACTTTTTAAAATGGGGTAAAGACCTAAACTGAAAATTCTCAACAAAGAATCTCAAATGACTGAGAGACACCTAAGGATATGTTCAATATCTTTAGTTATAGAGAAGTGCATATCAAACCAACTCTGAAATTCCATCTTAACCTGTCAGAATGGTTAAGATCAAAAACAGAAATGACTGCTTATGCTGGAGAGGATGTGGAGTAAGAGGGATGCGTCATCATTGCTAGTGGGAGTGCAAACTTATACAGCCACTCTGGGAATCAATTTGGCAGTGTATCAGAAAACCGGAAATTAATCTACCTCAACTTCCAGCTGTATTTCTCCAGGGCATATACCCAAAGGATGCTCAATCATGCCACAATGACAGATGCTCTCAACTATTTTCGTAGCAGCTTTATTTGTAATAGCCAGAATCTGGAAACAACGCAGATGCCCCTCAACCAAATAATGGATAAGGAAAATGTAGTACATTTACACAATGGAGTATTACTCTTCTGTTAAAAACAATAAGGAGCAGGAAATTTGAAGGCAAATGAATGGAACTAGAAAAACATCATCCAGAGAGAGGTAATCCACACCTTGAAAAACAAACATGATATGTATCTACTCATAAGTGGATATAACATTAACTGTAAAATAAAGGACAACCCTGCTATAGTCCACAGACCCAGAGAGTCTATGTAACAAGGAGGACCCAAGGTGAGTCACATGGATGTCCCTGGGAAATAGAAGATATGTTGTGGGTGAACTGGGGGTAGCTGAGCATGGGCACTTGAGTAAATGGTTAGAGAGTGGGTGAAATTTCAGAGTACTGAAAGAGAATACTGGAAAGGGTGGATTTTGGGGATCAGGCAGAAATCTGATGATAGGGTAACTCTCATGAACCTACAAGGATGATACCAGCTAAGAACCCTAGCAATCTTGAATACATACCCAAACTGGTTATGTCCTATGATCAGATAGGTGACTACCCCAATTGTTATCAGAGAGCCTTAATCCAGTAACTGATGGAAACAGATGTAGAGATCGATGGCCAACCATTAGGCTGGGCACCAAAAATTGTTTTGCAGAAAGGGGGGAAGGATTGTAGGAGTCAGAATGTTCAAGGACATCAAAGAAAACCCACAGAAGCATGTAACCTGGCTTACAGAAACTCCCAGAGTCTGAACCAACAACCAGGGAGCCTACATTGGACTGACTTAATATTTGACAGTTTAGACCAAGTGTAACTTGGTCTGTTTGCTCAGCTCTGAACACTGGGAGCATGACTGCCCCTAACACTTTGGCAGGCTCAGAGTAATCTATTCCTCTCACTGGATTGCTTTGTCCAGCATAAATACAAGGAAGGGATCTTAATGTAACGGTAGCTTGATATGTGATGCTTTGATGATACCCAGAGGAAGCCTGCAACTTTCTGAACAGGAACAGAGGATGAATGGATTCAGGGGAGGTAGAGAGAAGCTGGGGAGTCGGGAATGGGAAGAAAGGAGGGAAAGATAACAGTGATGGGTATGCAAAATGAATGAATGAATAGACCAAAACATTTTAAAAGAAGTTTGTGTCTCCTGGAAATGACAGGAAAGCTTTACTCAGTAAACCATCAATAGTTTTCCAAGCATGGTAAGGGTAAAATCTCATGGGTCCTCACCTCTTGCGGTAGTTGAATGTAATTGGATCCCATAATCTCACAGAGAACAGTACTATAAGAAGGTGTGGCTATGTTGGAGTGAGTATGGCCTTGTTGGAGGAAGTGTGTCACTGTGACAGTGGACTCTAACGTTTCCTATGCCCAGAAACCATCTACTGAGGCAGTTGACTTACTGCTGCAAACAAGACGTAGGACTCTCAGCCCCAGCACCACATCTGCCTGCATACTGCCATGCTCCCTGTCATGACAAATATGGACCAAACCTCTGAAACTGTAAACAAGCCACTCTAATTAAATGTTGTCTTTATAAGAGCTGCCGTGCTCAGTTTGTCTCTTCACAGCAGTGAAGACCCTAAGTAAGACACCCCTAGACTAAGAATTACAGATAACTAAGGGTTACTGAGGAGGGGGTGACGTAGTCATCTCCAAAGACGGCCCCCTCATTGGTTATCCAATACCAAGTGTCCAGTCCTGAAATCATGTACATTCAAGCAACACTAAATAAACAAAGCAGATTGCATTTGCATATTATATAAAAATAGGCAACTAAATCAATTCATAAAAAAGAGGCTAGGAATTTAAGAAGAAGCATTGAAAGGTTCAAGGAAGGAGTAGGAATGGGTGCAAAAAATGCAATCATATTTTTATAAAAATACATTAAAGTTTGCATGAAACCTTCTTCCTTATATAACTGGGAAGTATTAACAATACTTAGTGTGCATCTATTCACTGTAAAATATTTGTTAGTGCCTATTAAGTACAAAAGGTGGACTAGGTTAGTAAATTAGATCATGAAATAATGATATCTGAATATCATTTAATTTGAATTATAATTGATAAGGTTTCCTTGTTTTGTTATTCCCTAAAACATTAAAAGTACTGTAAATGATCTTACAGCTGTTTGTCTTAATTCCTTGATGAGAACCATTATTGGACTGACTTGCCCTTTACCCTTGCCTGTAGTTACAGGTGTCACCAGCGTGCTGGGTTCCCTGCTGACTATTCTCTATGTGAAACTTTTCCTCCTGGGGATTATTCTGCTCATCCTAGGATTTGCTTTCTTCCAGAAGACAAATTATTTCAGGTAGGAACAAAAACTGAAATTTTTTTAATTTAAAAATTTCCTTAGACGGACCTTGTCAAAAATTTGAGTGTACATTCGACTGAGACTGTCCTGTTGCCCCATCATGGTTGTTCCTTCAGCTCTTCTACAGCACAGGATTTCTTTAAATAATGGAGCCCTGTCACAGATACCCACAGTAATGACAAAGTATCTAACTTGCTGCAGTTCTGAGGAGGGACTTAGCCTGGCCTTCTCTTTCAGGAACCAGTGGTAGAAATGAAATTGCTGGAAGTTTATGAATTTATTTGCAAGTTTCTTGATTCCCATGGGTTTCTGTTCATTCCTGCTTAATTGTATTTTATAATATTTGTTTTTGTTTATTTGTAGAAAATGAAAATCTAGATTTCTGAAGCCCATTAGTCTGATGACACAGCACAAGAAAACAGCCATTTGCCATCACCTTTCTCACTGACATCCAGCCTACCTGCTCCTGAAGTCTTCATGTTTGTCAGAAGTCATATGACAGCTGACGGTCTCACAGTATGACTATACAGGAAAAAGCTTGGGTCTTACTGCCATATATGTATGAATGGCTCTCTACTCTCTTCTTTCCCCACTTCTCAAACCGAAGAAGAAGAAGGCTTAGCAAATGGTGAGCAACCATGCTGGATAGATTTCTGTATCCCACATCCTCCAGGTTAGCTTCTACCAACTTCCTGTTCCTAGCACATTTTACGTGATCATAAATGTTACACAGTCAGATACCATGACAAGGAACACCTTCAAGTTAGCCACTAGATAGCTTTTTTCCTTGCTTGCTACCAAGTAACTAGACAGTTGTCTTTCTTAAAATTAATTAGCTAGGAACCATTTTTATACATATCTCTGTAGTTTAGTAGGTGTTAAAAGTTGAGCCCAGAGAAAGCACTGCCAGTGTCATGGAGATAACACTGGAAATCCCCTTACTGTTTAGAATCTCAGGGTCTCAATCCCCTTTGCTGTCTCCAATGTGAATACAGTGTTTGGGGTTGTCAACGAGGGCAAGGGTAACATACTGTTGAATCCTAACAACTGTAAACCAAGACCTTATCTTTCCATGACACAGATAGTAGTCCTATTAAAAGAATTATTTTTTGGGTAAAGTGGCAAGTGATTTTGGCAATTACCTTTTATTAAAGTCTGGGTAGAAAATGAATGCCTGATTCTAGAGGATAACAGGATAGTAGCCTCGGGTGCTTCTTGAAAAGTTTAAGCCCTCTCCATTTCACACTTTTGTGTAGTTAATCATGACAGGGCAGAGAATAAAGGGGTGCTGTTCTAAGATACTATTTTATTCTACAAATCTGTTCTTAGAGTAGTTTATTTACAGTTTTGACTAGGGAGAGGAGAGGATTGTATTTGGGATAATTTATGAGTCTGTCCAGGAGTAGTGAGCCCACCTGTTCAGTCCTATGACCACACTCACTTGTAGGAAGCCTTGACAACGTAAGCTAGTTTGTTTGAAGAAAAAGTTTATGGATTGGTGCACACTTAGAAAATCTCTGCCCACAATAAAGAGCAGGAATTTTTATTGACTTGTGGAATATTTGTTCAGATGTGTTGCATTTGTTTCTGCTCCAGAACATTTGTTTAATGATGCAAAGATGTGCTGCATTTTTTTTTGGATTGGGTTAATTCTGTGATTAATTAATTCATTTGGTTAAAGCTGTGCTTCTTGCATGATTAACCAGATTGGTCTACTAAAGAAATGAACATCCAACTTCTGGATACAGAAAAATAGTCAGGACTGGCAAGCAGATTGAGTAAATAGGAGGAGAAATCTGGGAAGGGCATGAAAGAAGTGAGAAAATAAGGGAGGAGGGCATCAGGGGCCAGCCACCCAGCAACACAGCAGGAATGGAATAAGAAGTAAAGAAGAGTGTCTAGAAAGGTAAAAGCCCAGAGACAAAAGGTAGACAGGATTATTTAAATTAAGAGAAGTGAACAAGAAGCAAGCCAAGCTATGGCCGGGCATTTATAAGTAATAAGACTCCATGTGATTTATTGGGAGCTGGATGGTGTGCCCCCAAAAGTGCAAAGAGCAAAAACAAAAAGTAAAAACTACTAACAACAAGGAACAGTGCTAATATCAAAATTAATGCCTAGTTTAATAGCAGGAAATCAGTATGTGTCAAGCAGTAAATAAGTTCATAATTGTCACTCAAATACATCTAAGGAATGAGCTCCTTTTATCTCCTTTTTCATCACAACATCTTTATGTTTAAGTCAGTGTATAAAGGGTTAAGAGATCTAGTACTGTAATTCTGTAAGAGAACTAGGAAATACAGGTGCAGAGAGAACAAGTAGCTTGGTTTGTTGTCTCTCTTCCCTGTTCTACGTGTGGAAGACACTTCTCTTCATGACTGAATCTTCACCCCACCTCTATTGTCTTGTTTCTAGTAGATCTCAAAGTTCTTTCCATAAAGAGTTTATGGACAGTTTTCATTCACTCCAAATAGTTCTCTCTGGCCAATAAAGAGATATATAAATGACAGTTTGTCAGTTGTGAGTTTGGGTCTCAAAAGGTCCTGAATGTTTCTCCTTTTCATTCTGTGGGAATATGGATGACCTACCTGCTGGAGGATGAGAATAGAATACAGTAGATCCATGTCAGTCCAGTCTTTCCTCTCTGTGTTGAACAGCTCAAGTATCCAGAAGTGAGCTTCCCCTCAGACCCTTGAGCAATCTCAATCAAAAATCATCAGACATGATGATTCCTGCTAACCCTGGACAAATGAACAGTCATTGCCATAGAGTTCCTGCGGTTGCTTATCAGGTAGCACATTTGTGTCATAAAGTAACTCACACATTGCTCAATAACATAACTCCAATTATGTAAGGACAGACACAGCTAGTAGCCTCTTTCAGTTTCCCTTGCATCTGATCCTGACCATGAGTTTGGGAAATAATAAGTGTGACATTTTCAGAACAGCCCTTTAGTGAAAGGAAAGGGTTTTCTTGTGCTCTCTAGTGTTATCTGTGAAACTGCAGTACTCGTGTGATACCTGCAGGTCCCAGAGTTACTTGATACATGGATTTTGCTGAGGATGGATGCTACTAATTGAAGAAAAAAATAACAGAAAAATGGAAGAACTTGGGCCTGATGACTGTAGATTTGCTCCACCAGTCCTAAAACTATCTTAGTGTAAGAGAGAATAAACCATCTTTTTCACAGTACTGTGATTTTACATTGCAAATAGCTGGGGTTAATTCTAATTGAAATAAATAGTTACTTTGTCAATTTGGAAGTTTATTATCATTAAAGTTGGTTGTGTTCTACTCATGTGCATATTCTGGATTATTTTTGTTCTTCCCTTAAATGTAATTCTCTTAGTTAGTGTTTCTATTGCTATGAAGACATACCATGACCATGACCAATCTTATAAATTATAACATTTAATTGGGGTGGCTTGCTTACAGTTTCAGAGTTTCAGTTCATTTTCATCATTGTGGGCATGGTGGATGCAGGCAAATGTGCTGGAGCAGTAGCTGAGAGTCCTGCATCTTGTAGGCAACAGGAAGTTGACAGACACTGAGTAAAGTTCAAGTAAAAGAGATCTCAAATCCTGTCCCCACACTCACACACTTTCTCCAACAAGATCATACCTATCTCAACAGTGCTACACCTCTTAATACTGCCAGTCTCTTTGGAATTCTGGTGGGCAATTACATTCAAATTCCACTCCCTGTCTCCCATAATAATACCATAGTGCAAAATTCATTTAGTCCAAATTCAAAAGACCCCATAGTTTTTGAAAAAAGTACACAGTCTCAATGATATTTAAAGTCCAATGTTCAAAGTATTTATTTGAAGTTCATGCAATTTCTTAACTGTAATCATCTATAAAAATAAAACTGCAGATCACATACTTCCAATGTATAATGGCACATTATAGTAATATACTTTACTCTTCCAAAACATGGGGAAGGGAATACTGTACCAGAGCAAACTGGAAATCAGCAAGGAAGTTCCAAACTCTGCATCTCCACGTCTGATGTCAAAACACTCTTCAGATCTCCAACTCTGTTCAGTTTTGGTGACAGCCACACACCTTCTTTCTCTGGGGCTGGTTCCACTCCCTGTTCACAGCTCTCCTTGACAGGTCTCCCATGACTCTGGTATCTTTGACATCTTGAATTCTCCAAGGCATCAACCTCAAAGTTTCACACAATGGCCTCTCTACTAGAGTGAGTTTGAGGGAGTGGGGGAGGGGCCAGTGCCTCTGTCTGCATGATCCAGCTGGAATTGTCAGGGTCCCAATTAACAGATGATTGGGAATTTGGAGGCATCACCGCCCCAGAAACCGAGAAGAGTGCTGCGAGACACTGGCTACTGAGGGAAGAGCAAGAGTGCAGAGCCCCCAAACCATGGGCACATGTAAGCTCTGCCCATTTGTCCCTAGGACAATAAAAATTTTCTAGGTCCGAGGATGGTAAGCTCAAGGCTTCCTTTTGGTGGCCAATGTGCCCCACTGTCAAGAGAGTATTGAGGCCAAATCTTAGAACTTAGGGAAATTAACCATTTGGGCCAGATCATATTGGACAGCCCCAATTTATCATGATTTTGTAAGAGGCATCCCAGGTGTGACAGCAGATCTGTCTTTAAACTGCAAGTGCCCATTTTAAAGTCTATCCCCGACTGTGTGGCCTAAATTAGCTCTAAGACCTAAATGGGGTCATAGAAATTGAATGCTAGGGATCCCTAGAGCAAACAAAACCCACCTCAGCTAGGCCCTGCCTAGCTCCTGAGATCAGACTCTTGGCGTATGCCCACAGCTTTCACAAAAGTCCAATAATTGACAAAAGCAAATACAAATGGGTCCCCCAAAACCCTATAACATAGACAAAAAAAGAGGACTCACCAAGACACAGCCACCATAGTTTGGGAGCCAGTGTTAGTGTGGCAAGGAGAGCTCGGATAGTAGACTAGGGCGCTTTTGAAATGTGGCCATAGGCCAGGTGGAAAGGCCGCCCTATATTGGTGGGACCTCCAGATGTTAGGAATTTTTCCTAAAGCAAGCTCTCTGCCTATGCAAAAATCCCAATCAAGCCAAGTCCCAATAAGCCAAATTAAAGGAGGTCCAAGTTTAATGGGATTCCTGTGTTCTTGGGTGGCCCCAAGGGAAACTGGAAAACAGCAACTGCGATCACGGTGGGAAAGAGAAGAGACTACGAGGGAACTTTCCGGGGAAGCAGTTTAAATAGACTGGGGGAGTAGTCAAGATTTTGGTGGGCTGCCTTGATCCTCCTCCATGGGAGGGGTCAAGGTTTTGGTGGGCTGATTTGACACTCCTCCAGGGAGGGCCAAAGGCTTGGCAGGCCACCATGAAACCCCTCCAGGGAGGGGCCAAGGTTTGGTGGACACAGGGGCGGGTCCTCCAAAGATGGAAGCCTGAGACCAGGAGTTCCACCTTCCACTTTTGGTTTGCTTTTTCCCCTCAAAACAAGTTGTGATAATCACTTTAATCTCTAACACTATACTTTAAACCAAAACTAATCCAAAGAGATCAGAAAGAACACTATATACACATCAAAGGGAAAATCAACTAAAAACACATTTCAATTCTTAACATCTATGCGCCAAACAAAAGGGAATCCAATTTGCAAAAGAAATATTATTACAACATAAATCACATAGTGACCCTCATACATTAATAGTGGGACCCTTCAATACCCCTCTCTGACCAATTGACAGGTCATCAGACAAAAACAAAAAAGAAATACTGGAGCCAACAAACATTATAAACCAAATGGATATAATAGATATTTACAAAACATTTCACCAAAACACAGAAAATATACCTTTTTCTCAGTACTTCATGGAACTTTGTCCAAATTGGCCACATACTCTGAGACAAAGCAAATAGATACAGAAAAGTCAAAATAAGTACCTGCATCCTGCTGGATCACTACAGATTAAAGATGGATATTAGCAGTAACAGAAGCAACAGAAACCTTACTAACTCATGGAAACTGATCAACTCTCTACTGAATGAAAAATGGATAAAGACAAAAACACAGAAAGAAATGTAAGACTTTTTAAAATTGAATGAAAATGAATACACAGCATAACCAAACTCATGGTTC